CCCGCAGCTCCGCGTTCCGCCCGCGCGGCAGAGCGATATTCGCAGCCGGCGAAAAGCTTTTTGGGTGTAAAAACGCTCGCGAAGGACCGGTGGGGTCTGGCCGGTGCCATTGTCTGCCCCACGTGCAGGCCGGAGCGAGGTTTCGTTTTGCTCGTGTGTTTGATCCCCCTCAGGCCGAAGGCGACGGAGTAACCGGTAAACAAAGCAGCGAGGGGAAAACTCGAAGCCAGGTCATCGCTGTAACAATTGACTACGTCCGTTTCGTTCTGTCGTGTGTAAACCACTTTTTTCTAAAAGGGCTTAATGACCGTTTACACGTGAGGGAGGATAATGAGGTGGGCAGTTCACTCGCAGTGACCTGCTTCCGCTGCTGGGTGGTGCTGGCACTAACCGCGGTGCGCCACCCGGCATGCGTGCGGCAGCCTGGGCTGTGCAGGGACAGGCGGTTGCAGTGTGGAAGTAGTGTTAGAGGTGGAAGGCATGCGGTGAGAAGATAGTGCTGTGTACTGAACGCTATCAAGAAGGACGGTTTTTTTTCCTTATTGAATTCCCTTAAAGGTATCTGTGTCCTGTAAGAATGAAGAAATGACGGCAGTTTTCAACCCAGATAGTCTGTGCTCCTCAATATTGATTGCTATAGGTTAGGTTTATCATGGGATGCAAAGTTTCCAACTGCCTGCAACAGCAAGAAGTTCATCTGTATCTTATTGTCACTGAGAGGTCACATAGACGCTTTATTAATCTGATATTTTAACCTATATAACCGTGTAGGAAAGTGAAAAGGTCACAGCTTAGTCAAAAGGGTCTGAGAGAACAGGCTTTAACACTGATTAGTTAAATTAACTTTTATTGAAGTTCTAACACGATGCCAGTGTAGGCCTTGATTCTGGATCTCCTTATGGTTAAATAAATAAGGGTAGCTTGCTTAGTGGCCATGGGTAGGCTTAAGAATTGCTCTAAACTTGAATGCTGTTATCAGCAAAGACATGAGTGCTCTGTCTTTTTAAAGATCACCATGCCAGCTCCTTTTTTTCTTGATTAGATAGTGTTATGTAGGTTTTCAGTTTAGTGTTCTGGTTTTCTTTTCCTTGGTTAGACTTCTTAAAATATGTGGGGAAAATCCATTTTTATTACAGAATATGTAAGTTTGTGAAAGATTATGCTTGCCTTGTTACTGATGGGTAATTTTTCCTGTAAGACCTGTGATCTTTGTTCTTTATGCTTACTGTGGTTTAGATTTGGCTCGTAATGTCAATGTTCTGTTTTTGTTTCATTATTTCCTTATCAAACTTTATTTCTTGATTGCATGAAGAAGTACAGAGTATTTCAAGATAATCAGTAAAGAGAAGTAACTATGCAGATACAAAAAAGGAATCTTACTTGTTCCAGTACAAAATGGAAAGTTGTCACCTCTGTAAAGCTCTCTTAACATTGTAGTTCTAAAGAGCTAGATTAGATGCTCAGTTCTAGAGAAGTAGAGCTTTTGAAAAACCGATTTGTAAGAACCAGTGTTTCACTTGCTTGTCGTTGCATCACTAGCTTTTTGAAATATGTATAATAATAAAAAAGAAATGGATACCGTGTAGTTTAATAATACCTGTCCCTTGATTGTTACTGGGGGATGTTGAGGTGGAGTGGGGGAAGAGTTGAGGTCTCTACTGTCAAAAACTCAAATTGTAGGAAAAGTCTCTGTCTGTCCTGTTGTTTGCTTTGATCCTCTGAGGCGTAAGTAAAACAGATGAAGTACTGCTGCAGAAAAAGTGATGGTCCCGAGAGTCAAAGTGCTGGTCAAAAAAAAGCATTGTGAAAAACCTCTTCCGGACATTTGGCTGTACTTATTCCTCCTACTGTTTTAGAACAATGAAGTTAAATAAAAGCAAAGAGCTTATATTTTTGCACATGTAATTCGTATACTTAGTTCAAAGTGAGATTAAATCATCCATTATTGATAGGTAAGGAAGAATAAAATTATTGTTGTGAGGATTGACTGATAGGGTTGAACGAGAAGCTGAGGCAGCCATTTTGTTTTTAATGTATTGCTGTGATTGAGGTGAAAGACAAATAGGTTGAAATTTAAATTGTCATATTGTAGGTTTGGGGGTGGTTCTTTAGAGTAAGTAATTTTAGTATAAGTTCAATGTAATTCTTCCTGTAAATTAATTAAGATAAGCAGGAAAACTAGTTCCAGCTGTTGTGTGCTGTAGTTGTGTTTCAATTCAGGGATAGTTACTTTACGCATATAGCAATGTCAGAATTTTTAATGTGTTATTTTAATGTATGAGTGATTTCAAACCAGTCATTTTCTCACTTGCTTTATTAGGATTTTCTTTATTCCTGAAGACAATACTTGAGTTCCTCAGAAAATAACAGATGAATCAAAATTGAAACTAATTTCATACCTCTTTCAAATAGGCATACAGAAAGCTGGCCAAGGAGTACCATCCTGATAAGAATCCAAATGCAGGGGACAAAGTAAGACTCTTGTTTTTTTGTGTTTTTGTGGTTTTTTTTATTTTTATTTATTTTTAAACTCCTGAAGTTTGCAATTACAGTAGCATCTAAGGAGGCTTACTGTTACAAGTTGTTCAAAAACACTACCTGTGAGAGGGAGCCGTTTGTTGTCTACTTCTTCCCAATCTCAAAATCTACCAGTGTACCTTGTGACAAAATGCAGCAGTTGGCTGAGTCAAGTTGGTTGAGAAGGTAATGCTGAGGGAAAAACTGCCTCTCTTCATCTGCCAAGATGATGTCAGCTGGTATTGGCATCTGCATGGTTATTTGAAAAAGATAGAGAGTCAGTTTTACAAGTTTTTCCAACGTGGAAAAACGTATGCGTGGAAGTTGTTGAAACTGCTGCAGCACAAAACAAATTACATCTGTGGGAAGGTTGAATTAGATTTGTTATGCTAATAGCAATTAAAAAATGTCAGTGACGTTGACTCAGCTGATTAACAGAATTGAAGTTCTAATGGTTGCTTGGAGGTGAGCAGAGATGACTGAAAAGACACTAATTTGTTTTGAGGACAAACACATTACTATGCATTTTTAGTAAATTGCTGAATTGATAGCTTATTTTGAGTGCCTAACATGTCTTGAGGGCTTTGCCATTAATACGTAACTGGTTTTTTGCCTGTTGGCTACAGCAGTATTGTGTACTTGGGGGTTTTCTTCTTTGGTTGGATATTTTTGTGTGTGTGTGTCTTACGCTAGGCACAGTAAAGGACAAAATCATCAAAGTTTTGCACTAAAATAACATTTCATAATAAACTAAGCCCACGTCTGACTTAAGTCCTGCATACTAGAAAATTGTTCTGTTGATACCTTTTTAATTGAGTGTTCATGCTGGGCAAGAAACAGTAGTAGAATGCTGCCTTGGAGTTCTAAATTATGCATTGTTTTGACTCTGTTCCTCTTCTAGTTCAAAGAAATAAGTTTTGCCTATGAAGTGTTGTCAAATCCAGAGAAACGTGAGTTATATGATAGATATGGAGAACAGGGTCTTCGAGAAGGTAGCGGTGGAAGCAGTGGAATGGACGACATTTTCTCCCATATCTTTGGTGGTGGATTGTTCAATTTCATGGGTGGCCAGAGTAGAAGTCGTAATGGTAGAAGAAGAGGAGAAGATATGATGCATCCACTCAAGTGAGTATCTTGATACTGCAGTTTGTACTTTCAAGCTTTCCTGATGAGTACTTGACTGTGCTGGTTCATGTTCTTGATACACTTCTCAGTTGAGATACTCTGCAATCTGCATCTGCTTTTCAGACCTGCGTGTCCTGCGTAGCCTAGAAGGTAGTCATTTTGAGATACTTTTTATGGTTGGTTAATCTTACAGACTACCTAATACTTGGCTTTGCTTGGTTATTAGCCTATATATATTTTGTTAGCATTATTTTCCTTGGTTTGGCTCCTTAATTATGTTTGGAAGTTGTAATCTGAAAAAGTATTCAACAACGAAGTATTACTCATTAGCTGGGTGAGGAAGGGAAGCAGAGGTACTAAGGCTCTGGAAAGACTTAAGTTGATTTGCATTCATAGCATAATAGCAGGTGGAACTAAAGTTGAACTGCATGATTAATGGAAAAATGTGTGTGGCAGGTCTGGTTTTGATTTTTGTTTTTAAAGACATGCTCGAATATCACATCTAATTGTGTTTTGTAGATCGCTGCTTGCAGCCATGACTGCCTTTTTGCCTGCTGAGCAGGTCCTTTCTAACTTTTTAAGTTAAGTTGCATCTTTCCTGTAGTTGGCAAACCATTCTTAGTAAAGGCTGTTTACTTTTACATGCTTGCTTAGTTTAGTAGCTAGTACTGCACGCTAGATTATTAATTATCTTTGGCTGTTATTTGTAAACACTGATGCCAGGCAACCTTTGCTCAATACATTGAGTTGAAATTTCTATCCACTAATAAACCCTTTTAGGAGAAACACTAAATATCTTCATAAACTTCTAACAATATATGAAGGTTATTGGAGTTTGTATTCAAGAGCTTCTAAAAAAAATGAACAAATGTAAAGAATTAAGTGGCCTTGGAAGGACATGCTAACCCCTGCCCACTAAACTATCTCATTTGGGAAGCCCAATACAGTAGTAGGCATTGTGTATGTATTCTTATGTATGCATGCTATAAATATTGTCAGGATTGTCTAGAAAGGTTTGTTTCTCACCTGCCTGGTAGAACTAAAAAAATCAGCTATGACTATATAATAAAACATAAAGTGCTCCACCAGCTTGTTTCCTATTGAGAAACACAGGTAATCCTATTTGCTTTTTTTCTGATTAAATTACAGCTTTTCTCAGAAACTGTTAAATATGTTCAAATGTATGGAATAGTTTTTAAGGATTCCTTGTCAAAACTAAAACAGTGCTTTAAAGTCTTATTTTAGTAGCAGATTTAGTCTTTTTATGAAGATACAGTTTTTTGAGGTTTTGTTTGTTTTAAATTTGTCTTGGACAAGTATTTTAATTACATGGGAAAGTAAGTTGATAAATGATAACCCAGGAGAAATATTTTATTTTGTAGAGTCTCTTTAGAAGATCTGTATAATGGAAAGACAACTAAACTACAACTTAGCAAGAATGTCCTTTGTAGTGCATGTAATGGGTAAGTTTGCTTATATTTTTGAGTTGTCTGGTTGCTTTGTTGGTGTAGCATAATGAAGCATCTCCTGTGTCAGATCTTTATCAGTATTTGACTTACTGGAGCCTGCTTTCAAACTAGAGAGGCAAATTGTTGAACTCGAATGATACTGTTGATGGAACTAGAACTATTCAAGGGCTTTGTTTGGAGGGAAGTGGGGAGGAAAGAACCTAATTATGATTGGCAATGCAATTAGGGATGTTAACCTACTGACATAGGGTTGTGGGTTTTTTTGTCATACGTTTCTGAAAAATTTACTTTTCGTACAACTGGTGCTTTCTATTCCAGGCAGGGAGGAAAGGCTGGAGCTGTTCAGAAATGTAATGCTTGCCGGGGTAGAGGTGTACGTATCATGATCAGACAGCTGGCTCCTGGAATGGTATGCAATCTGTATGCTCTGACTGCAACGGAGAAGGTAGGCCAAGCTATGCTGTTACTAAATGCATTTAGTTGGATTCAGCCTCCTTGTTAAATCTCAGGAGGAACTTATCCAGGACAATTTTGCTCTCATCTAGTCAGTTAGATCTCAATTTGATCTCAACATGGTAGAAATCATTTTACTTGGAACAAGATTTCCAATGTTTAATGTACTGAAGGCAGCCTGGGAGCTTGAACGGTAGAGATTGATTGTTTTTAAAAACACTTAGATTTGAGTATTACTTATTGCTATTACTCTTGTGTTAAAACAAAAAACAATATATGAGCTTTTTGACTTTACAGTCTCCCAATATCCAAGGACAGGTTTTGTTTAAAAATGGAGATGTAAAGTTGGATTTTAACGTCTTCAGATTAAGATGATACCTTTTGTTGATTTGATTGTGCTGGGAGAACAAATTCGGCACATGATCTGCGCTTCATGTTTTTAGATCTTCTGCAGTTTGTAGAGTAGTAACATCACCTTGTGGATGATTTCATTCTTCAGGATACTTGGAAATCACAAAGTTGTATTTTGTGACTAGTCAAGATATTTCATAAATGATGTTGTCTTTGAACATCTTGTTTTCACAGTTTATGTACCTAACCTACATATTTAGTAGTTTCCAGCTGCATCTTAATGTTATGCTTTGTTTCACAGAAAAGTGGCTTAAGCTGGCAAGTTTAATGTATTAAGCCAAGTACATATCCTTGTGGCACTTGGAGCAGTATTGGAAATAAGTACTGGAATTGTACAGTTCATGGGGCCTAATATTTTGCTTACTCTGTACAAAGACAAAGCTTATTTGAAAAATAAAGATGAGGTAGAACAGAGAATTTAAGCCATTTAGGACAGCCATCCTTCACTTTGCTGGGAGAAAATTTACTGGCTGCGTTTACATTTGCGTAGTACTTTGTTGTGGTGGTATACTGCAAAATGTGGCTGTCAATGAACAGAACTCAGTAATCCTTTTTTCACTGTTGTTAGCAGAAGTGGAACTAAGCTTCCTAAATTCATTGAAATTTGTATTCTGACTTTTAACAGAGGGGAGATGCTTCACTTTGGTTTTAGCTTCATCCTTTCTCTTATAGCTCGTCATCCTCCAGCATAACGAGGAATGGAAAAGTAGACTTTTTTTTTTTTGAGTGGTAAGGATACTGGAGTCAGATTAAAGCTTAAGGAACACTAGAAGCTATAGACAAAGTCTTGTTTTGCCTTTCTCTAAAGCACTCTCACTTTTTAAAATCCTTGATAAGACAGCGTGGAAGGTAGTGAGTATCTTTGTATCTCCTCTTCCTCCCCACCCTCCCCCTTTTTTTTTTTTCTTTCCTTCCTCCTCTT